AGTTGTAATTAGAAAAGAAAACGTGCCGAAAATAAAAAAGATTCAGAAAGTCGTCGAACTGATAATCTTTTAAAATATTTTAAAACTGAATGATCTGAATGTAGCTAGCACTAGTGTACAAAATAAAGAAGAGTTACAAACTACATACAAAGAATTACCTTCATTATTGAATGAAGATAAAGCTATAAATAAAGAAGGTCAAAATTTTTTTCTTAGGGCAAACGAAAAATCTAATGAATTATCAAATTATCAACCATATTGGAAGACGATCCTGGAACATAGCCATCACGATACCCTTTTGAGAAAATCAGATTATTATTAATTAATAAAAACATTTTCAAGTAACAAATTACGATTTTTCAATAGATGAACTGGGTGGAAAATTTAATGTATCTTATTATACAAAAGTACAGTTCATTTAAATGGAGAAAAATGTTGCAGAAACTGGCTTTTCTATTTAAAATTAAAAGATAAGGTACTTTGTTATTTATGTTTTAGCCAATTGTCAAGATCATCTTTAGCATTAGTAAATGAAGGTTTTTTTTGACTGGAAGCACCTTGGAAGTCTATGAAATGAATATGAATTATCGTTGCCACACAGAAAATAACTTAAAGATATTCTATGGAGCTAAAAACAGTTTGCAAAAAGAACAAACAATTGACGATTTTAATCAAAGAGAATTAAATTCAGATGTGTGAAGTTCTTAGAAAGATTATATTTTGTATTCAATATCTATCTAAAAACAATGATGCAATTCGTAGATCGAATCAGATAATAAAAAAAATAATGGTAAAGTTTTAAATTTAATTGGAGTTAACTTCAAAATTCCATACAAGAATGGCAGAACATATAAGACATATCATAGATAAAGAAACAAATGATCATTATTTAGGTTGAAAAATTCAAAATGAGATAATTGTGAGAATTCGCATGGATTCTTATATTTTAATAATAATATTTATAAGAAAGCATTATAATTTTATAAATTAGAAAGGAAATTATCCACAGAAATTAACAGGAAAAAGGAAAGAAAGAAAGAAAGTTCACTCGTTTCCAACAATTTTACTTCCTTCAGAAAAGTAGTTAGTCAACCGATGACTACATGTTTAGATCATTGTCAGATGATCCTTAGGCCCGATCTCCACTGGAGGTAAAAATTAGTATAAAATAAAGATATGCGCTAAAATCTGCGGACTTAAGCTTTTCAGCGTTTCAGCTTGTCTTTGTTTAACTAAGTGCCATAGTTCCTCATACAAGTGACTTCCGCCCAAGATTATGAATCGCATAATTCAAGTTATCACAGAGGTAATATAATATAATACAGTGTTGTTTGTAAACTCTCTCTATCAACCTCTAAGGACCAACCTATTTTTAAAGGTTTAATTATTCATGTTTAATCGTAGCTAGATGTTATTTGTTTGTTCATTTGTATTCTTTGTTTTCCATTAAAATATATGTTAATTTGTTAATGGAACTTGATTCTAGTTTCCACACGAACTCCTATCACTTACTCACGTGTGTCTCCCTACTCAAACGACATAGAAGAATCGCGAGTTAAACCGCGAAATAATAGTTTAACTGTTGTCAATATCCTGACGGGAATCTTGATTTCACAATCGAGATCCTTATTACCGCTCATACGTTAGACTTCCATTGACGTAGAGATTGGATCTCACGATCATGTGCCGATTAAGTGGTACACAAATTTACTAACTTTGTACCCTCGACTTATGTCACATAACTAATCTGTTGGCAAAGTTACTTATCTCACATAACTAATCTGTTGGCAAAAATAAAAATGAAATAGTAATAAAAAAATAAATAAAAGGTAAATGTTGTGCAGTACAGTTAGACTGTACTACCGATAAGAGTCGTATTAAACAATTGACACTCATTGTTCGAATTGTAGAAATGTCTGACGAACAATAACGAAATGAAGTTGAAATTAATGATTATTTTAATAATTTTTCTCCTTTGCCGAAAAGTACAGGGTTTGATTTATAAAAGAAATTATGTAAACAACTTAAAACTTTAACTATTTCTTTGAACGATTGTCGTGGACAAGCTTACGACAATGGGACTAACATGGTAGGCAAGAGAAAAGGCATGCAAGAGAGGATTTTGGAAAATATTCCGACAGCATTTTTTGTTTCATGTTCTGCCCGCAATTTAAATTTATAGATAGGTGATATGGCTTACTCGGTTCCTATGGCTATGACATTTTTTGGAAGACTTTCAAAACTGTATTACTATTTTCCACATATGCTCACAGGTGGGCTAATCTAATGAAACATTTAAGAAATTCAATTCTAAAACCATTATCAGATACACGTTGGGAATGCCGAATAAATTCTGTGAAGACAGTTAGATTTAATTTAAACAAAATTATAACAGCATTAGAAGAATTAAATGATGTGACAGAGATTTCTAGTGTATAAAGTGAAACAGATTCCTTGAGAAATATGCACGACGCTTCCAAATCTGGTAATTAGTTACAAAATATTATTGACAATTCGAATTTCAACAGCATCAACAGGAACGATTAACAAATCTGACATTTTTATCCATTGAGCACAAAATATGTAAAAAATGAAATTGCGATGATTTTATAAAAGATTTTGTTTAAATAAAAGCCCCCAAAATTGATATTTTATAAAATAGTGCGAAAAGGTTCAATCAAAATTAAAATAAAACTAAAAAAGCATATGTCGTACAATCTTTAGAAAATATTTTTTTTAACAGTTTTTGTTTTATAATTTTCGCACTTTTGTTTAAATAAATTGTGAAAAGATAACGTTTATTATTTTACTTATTAAGTTTTTTTTACTAATACTTAGTTTCATTTTAAAAAGAATCCCACAATTTCAGATTTGCCCCGGGCCCCGCAAATGCTAGGGGCAGATCTGCTGTGCATTATCTAATTCGATTGGATACATCTAGTTTTTACGGATACTTCATTTCAACAGATACTTTCTCGTCTACTGTTACGCATTCTGAAACGAACTATTAACTGTCACTACAAAACCTCGCTACAACGATCAAGATCGAGTCAACCCCATCCCCATCAATGAGCATCAGAAATGTCGAACACAGTCAAACCCAGGTATTGATCGGCAGGCGAAATTCATGTAAACTCTCTCTCTCTCTCTCTAGACCGCTTACGTCTATAAACCCCTTAAATATATTGACTTCCTAAGTTGTAAATTGTATCATGTTTTCTTCGTAATTAAATCGATATTAGTTGTTAACCTGGCATCCGAGTGATTCACTTCCAATACGACGTCTCTCAGATCTCCTCTATCCCGAATCCGATCACCCGCGCACGCGGCCGCTAGCGTGACCTACTTTATAATAAAACTTCTTATTGAAAATGAATTCAGAAAAAATTATTAACGAAACAAATTTTATCAATGGAACTTACTTGAGAAAAATTATTTTTGTGATTAAAACAAATTTTCAGAACAACTTATTATTAAAACTAAAATTAAGTTGTACTTATTTGTAATAATAATTTTTAAAATAAAAATTTGTTGAGTAAATTAAAACACAACAATTTGAAATAATATTTTAACAAAGAGTAATNTTGTTATGATTATAATCATGTTCTATCTATAGATTTGAGAAAATTAAAACATCACAATTGTATGAAAAAGAATATAACACCGAAACGAAATTTAATATATTCTTCATAATTATTATAAAATTAATTTGTATTAATTTTAGAACAAAAATCTTTTGCATAAATTAAGATTATTTCATTTTAGTTTTCATAAAATATCTTGTAACAATACGGTTGTATTAATTATTAAATGTTTTTATAAATTTGAATTAAATTAATTTTATTTTAACGACAAGGAAAATTTAATGTATTAATTATTAAATGTTTTAATATTCGAAACAATTGTATGAAATAATATAACAGCAAAACAAAATTATTTTTTGAATTTTTTTTTCTTTTATTTAAGCTTTTTCCAGTTTTCTCATTCACTTTGTCTAAAATATGACACATTTCTTTATGGATATCATAATATAATACATTATTATTCAAATTGAATACATATATTAGCAGGTACAAAATTATTTATTACATTTCACACAGTCACATCTTGTAAAATATTTGTGATATATCGGTAATGTTATTTTATCATTTATTACAAAAAATTTACAGTCACATGTTTTATTGTTAGACAGTTTTAATGATACTGCTTTATTACATGCTTGTTTTAAACACGGATAAGTTTTATTAAAAACAATATGTATTACATAATTATGTTTTTGTTTGCATACTATTAAAAATCCGTATTGTGAAGATGATGATGATATCCGAAAATCTTCAAAATCAAAAGTAGAGGCTGTAATGACCAAACGATAGCACATCTATTTCATTATCTAGAATGAATTTTTTTATCATAAAATGGGGAAAGCGAAATTTTGTTTTGCAAGTATGTTGTTACTACATGGTTTTTGCTTTTAACTCCATATTGCTGATGTCTTAATAGCTCTGTGTTGAATAAAACTTCTTTATATTTATCATGATTAATTTTTTTTAACAGATTTTTTAATACCTTTAGCGGTTTTTTTTATTTTGTTTATCGAAAATATAAGAATACATCTTTGGTTTCAATGAACAAAACTCAATTATTGGTTTTGACAGATCTTTAAAATATCCTAGTTTATTTTTGTTCATTTCATTATATAATTTGTGAGTTTTAGGATAGTTACTAAAATCAAAAATATCTGGAAACGATTTAAAATCCTCATAAATATCATTTGTATAAATTTGAAGTGTTAATGAATCTGTGTCAGTATATAATAAATGTACGTTTTCACCATATCTGTTTTTAAATATTTTATAAAATGTTTCATACATATGTAATTTGCTTAATTGTAATATACACAAAAACCTATATAAATAGGTTTGTCTAAACATAAATTAGGTTTCTTCATTTTAAAAATTGCGAGATTATCGTTTATAATTTGAAATTGTTCTACAGATGGTTTAGATAGATATTGGCGATATTNAAATAGGTTTGTCTAAACATAAATTAGGTTTCTTCATTTTAAAAATTGCGAGATTATCGTTTATAATTTGAAATTGTTCTACAGATGGTTTAGATAGATATTGGCGATATTGATTTAATGTCATAGCTGCTTTTAAGTTAATACGCTTTCTTACATTTTGACATGTTTTTCCGAAAAAACTATTATTCATTAATTTAAAAAATGATTTGTCAAAATCGTTAGTCGATTCTTGTCTTTTTTTATTATTAAATACTATATAATTTTTAAGCCATGCACTTTGACAAAATGCTAGTACTCTATGAATTTTAGTTACTATCAAACCTTCATCTAGATAAAATTTTAAATTTCTATAATGAATTACATAATTTTCTTTATCAAAAAGAGTTGGAACCAATTTTTTATTAGTATTAGTATATTTTAAATTTAATTTACGTAATATAGTTTTTTGATAATTAGATAATAAATCATACGGGATATTAGTATGCTCAGTAGCAAGTGGTAAATCATTATGTCTATCGTGAATACTTTCCGGATATTTTAGATCTACTTCTAAGATATATCCGATGTCATTTTCATCTGATATATTACATATGTCTAAAGCATTTATTTCATCTTTGGACAACCATCTAAAATTATTTACAGGTAAATATGCACTCATTACAAACCCATAAAGATTATTTGCATCTATGGACAGAATATAATTATGAGGTTGATTTTTATCATAAGTTTCAGGTATTAATGGATTATTTGCTTTTGCATATCTTTTACCCGCCAAACTTATTCCACCTCTAATTCCATTTTCAATAAACAAGTACATATTGAGATCATTAAATAATTCTAATTGGATTTTTGTCATTTTTAAACCACAATTCCATGTTAAATCTGGTGTTGTTATAAAATATACAGGATCTAAATTATAATATGTTAAACTTAATTTTCTAAAATTTTGGAATATATCTGCTAATAATATAGTATCAACATATTGATATAATTTTAAATAGTCTGTGTTTTACAGTGAAATTTTTTCCAAACTAATTGAGCATGATTGTAATCATCATCTGTAATATTTTCTCCTGATAATTCGTTATAAAAACATTTTTTGGGGGTAGCTGTATTTCATCTAATATTTGTTCATTTTTAAAATAGGAATACGGAAAATTCTTTTTTTTAATAATTCTCTATATTTGTTTTTGCGAAAAAAAATTATTAAAAATCGGGAAAATTATAATTCGCATTTTTTAAATTGTCTGTTAAAACAGAGAAAGAAGAATTTAAAAACTGATAACTATCAATAAATTTAAAATAATCTAATGAAAATGTAAATTTCTTTGAATTTATTGGAATAATTCTAATTTTTGAAAATAATTTAGAAGGTATATTTTTAAAAATTAAATGCGAATTATAACCTGAAAAATTGTGCAATATAATTGGAATAAACGTTTTTAGTCGGTAATTTAAATTACAGCTATTATGGGCCCACCCACTGAACATGCTTGTTTGATGGTCGTGATCCATTACACCAGGGGTGGCCAAAACGTGGCGCGTGCGCCAAACTTGGCGCATTGGACGATTACAAGTGGCGCTTCAGTCAGTTCTGAGCAACATTGCCAGATTTGGCTTCTTTGCAGTTATGAATATTACATAGAAAATTAATATTTTATAGTCTGTCTCGGCAAGTTTATTTGTTGCACAATTTGTTGCAATCAACTTTACAGATAAAATGAGTGTTCTCCACATAGTAAATTACAGTTGTATGCATGTATGTTTATTTTCGATCAGTTTACAGGTGTCTAAATGACAGTGTTAACGTCCGGACAGTCCGGGAATCTAATTGGACTACTAACTTCATTTCCTGAGTAGTTCCTGCGATATCCGTTGAGTTTTTTTTTTTTTTTTTTACTTTTGCCTGTACGATACACGATACATTCGTGTTCATGTACACCACTAATATCGTATATAACTATTTTATCGGGTAACTACACTACAACCGCATTTTTTATTGCTTCTTCTGTAGCAAAACTCAATTTTCGTCTTATAAATTGAAATACCTAATTAAGGGGTGGCCAAAATTTTTCTCCACCTCGGGAGGCTAACACCCACGGTACGCCACTGCGCATCTGAACTCGTCTATCAAAAAATTAGCACATGGTATGCAAAAGGTTGGCCACCCCTGCATTACACGAATATCATTGTCATCAAATTTTTGTTCACAAATATGACATAAATGTCTTGATTATTAGAAACAGTATTTAAATTAATTTCAACATTACGACTGATTTTACTTAACAAATTATTTAGCTGCTTTTGGATATCGATTAAAAAGTTATTAACAGCATTATCACCACAATAAAAATTAGTATATATTATCTTATCCTTGTTTTCAATAATTACAATAAAATAGCACATAAGTTTATGGATTTGGACAATTTTAGTAAAACTCACTTTTGGATTTATTTCATTGGAAGAAACATCTTCCAAAATTGATTCAAAATTTGCATAAATACAGATTGGGTGAAATAAGGACTTATCAAAAGAATGAAATTTCACAATTGCATTGTCTCTTTTTGGAGTGGATACTTTTTGACATTTATGATTAGAACAGAATTTTACGTGGTCGTTTAAAGTGCTTTCTCTTTTAAAACCGTTTAAACATCTTTTACAGAATTTTCTTGATAAAAATTTATCAGATATTAGTCTATTAACATTTATTATGAGCCCACCCTCTAAAAAATTCTGTTAAATGCTCGTGATATATTACACGGATATCATCATCATCAAATTTTTCATTGCAAATATGACATAAATGTCTTGAATTATTAGAAACAGTATTTAAATTAATTTCAACATAGCGATTTATTTTATCTAACAAATTATTAAACTGGTTTTGAATATCAATTAAAAAATAATTAACAGCATTATCACTGCAATAAAAATTAGCATATATTATTTTATCCTCGTTTTCAATAATTATAATCGAATAACATATAGGTTTATGAATTTTAACGATTTTAGTAAAACTTTCTTTAGGATCAATTTCATTAGAAGAAACCTTTTCCAAAATTGACTCAAAATCTGCATATATGCAGATTGGGTGAAATAATGACTTTTCATGAGAATGAAATTTNATAGAAAATACAAACAGAAATATCCACAAGTTGTTGAATATAAACTCTGATGAACCATATTATTCCAATAACAATTTTTAGAATTTCGTTTTATAAATTTTATAATTTTTGTTTTTCTCAGTTTCATTCCATAACTATCATAGTAAAAACAGGTTTTTTCTGTAAATAACACAGATACCCAATGACTCCAAGGCTTATTTTTTTCATCTAAATTAATTATAAATGATTTACAATTAGCAATGCAAATAGGTAAGTCATCAGATGCAAAAACACCTCCAAATGTCCTTTTTATTTTCGAATTACTTGAAGCCAGTCTCCATAAAGTAATGGTATTCATTAATAGTCCACAAACACAGTTCTTGAGTGATCAATTTCTAGAGTATTATTATATTCCAGCATACAAATAACGTTCNCTTTTGTCGGTTTCATTCCATAAATATTATAGTAAAAGAAGTTTTTTCTGTAAAGAACACAGATACCCAATGACTCCCTGGCTTATTTTTTTCATCTAAATTAATTATAAACGATTTACGATTAGCAATGCAAATGAGTAAGTCATCAGATGCAAAAACACCTCCAAAAGTCTTTTTTATTTTCGAATCACTTAAAGCCAGTCTCCATAAAGTAATGGTATTCATTAATAGTCCACAAACACAGTTCTTGAGTGATCAATTTCTAGAGTATTATTATATTTCAGCAAACAAATAACGTTTACAGTTTCTAATATAGCGGTTGAAAATTTTAATTCCACTGAAATGTTTCCTTGTTGATTAACACTAATATGTGATTCTGATGCAGAATGATCAGGAGTAAGGTCAAAACAATATAAAGTATATCCATCTTTATAATCGTCATAAGATATATTTGTAAATTTATGATGGTTAATGCATCCTATATCTTCAAATAATGATATAAAATTTCTTGCATATATCTTATTCGTATAATCAGGAGTATATGGTTTTGGGGGAATCATTTGATTGTCTTTTAATAAACATATATAATTTAAATTGTAATTTTTAAAATTAAAAGGATTGTATTTTACATTTCCATTAAATGCTGAATTAGAAACTAAACCAATAGTAATTCTATAAGGTAACTGACCGATAACAGCATTTGATATATTTGTAGACTGAATTCCGCTACTTAAAGTAAAAACTTTAATATCTGTTCTGCGGAATGGAATTTTTATAATACCTGTTTGCAATGCTTTTTCAATTCCAATTTGAACTGACGAACTAACATCTACTTTATTAATTTTTAGAGATGCATTTTTAATAATAATTTTATAATTATCATTATTTGCCATTAAAGCAAAATTATCTTTCGATCTTTCTAATTTAATTCGTAAATCAACATTATTAATTAACAGTTTAGGTTGATGTGATAAATCAATATGAAGCAGTCCAACTAAATCTATTAGTCTACTTTGTTTACTTATATTAAATTTTTTAGCTATTCCTTCATTATTTCCTTGTATGGAATCCATATGTTGTACAGTATCTTTAAAAAATAATGCACTCGTTAAAAAGGTTTTTTGTGCTTCTTTTGAGTAAAATAATAAGGCCTCCAAAATTGCTCGGTATTGATAATTAACTTGTTAAATTATTCATTTGTCGTTTAGAAATACGCTACATTGAGAGAACAAACTATTTAAAAAATAATTGACAGGAGCAACTTTTTCATCCGCAGCAGTATCTGTTCCGTTTTTCTTTACGATTTTTGCTTGAACATGTAGATAAATTGAATGCANGTTTAGAAATACGCTACATTGAGAGAACAAACTATTTAAAAAATAATTGACAGGAGCAACTTTTTCATCCGCAGCAGTATCTGTTCCGTTTTTCTCTACGATTTTTGCTTGAACATGTAAATAAATTGAATGCAGATCAATATAATTTTCACCAGAACCGGATACATAAAATTCTATTGGTGCTCGACTATCCGAAATGGTTGCAACAGGATGAACAATAACTTCTGATGTATTGTCGATAGCTAGTTAAGTCAAAACAGTACTGAATAAATCTAACTCGCTTTTGGTGCACGGACAAGAGTGTGGATCCATTTTCTCATTCACTAAAGATATCTTTTAGTTTTCGCCTTTTATTCTGCGACTGAATTAATCTTTTCACTCGTTTTCTTTTTATACCAGATCCACCTTGTACTTTTTTAATTACATCATCTTTAATTTCGGAACCAATATCTTTTAAATGTGATTTTGTAGATTCTTTAAATGATTTTCCACTAATTACATCTGATCCAACATTTGATGCAAAGTTTAACGCTTTTCGCCCTAGATATTTTCCTACTTTACTAAGAATAGGAATAGATTTACGAAATAAATCTCCAAAAAATCCATATCCTCGTTGTATTTGCTGTCCTGCAAAATAATTCCCTGTTCCTAATTGTCGTGTGAGAGGAAATTGTAACTCAGGTCTGAATATCGTTCCTCCCGCCTGATTACAGTAATAGTTTATACAATCTTTAGGATCCAGCTTCATTTTGTACTTCTCCAAGATGAACTAACATTAGCAAATAAAATTAAGCACTATTTATAATTGTTTAAAAGATAAAACTAATAATGTTTTGCCTCCAAAAAAGACAATTTCTTTTCCACCAGCGGTTCTTAACTCGATTTCGATAGTATCGATATAATTTTTCTTCAAAGGAAAATATAAAGGTGAGGGATAAACTCTAACTATTTGATCGGTCTTTTCTCCTATAACTGGTATAACTCTTAGAAGAGGAGCTGTTATATCTCCAACGTGATGAGAAGCAACAATATTTGAATAGATGAAAATTTCTGAAATTCCCGCAGACAATTCGAGTGGATATTCACTTATATATTCACCCACTGAAAATTTCTGTGTTTTAAATCCTAATAAATCTTTTAATTCGTTTCCGAATTCAATCGTTATATTTTTAGGAACTTTTAAAATGATTTTGTTATTAGGCAGTAATCCTAATTTAATATATTTAAAAATTCCAAGAAATTTTTCGGCAGAGGAATATAATTCAATAAAAATAAAAAATTTTTTTACTACATCAATTTTCTCAACAACTTTTTTATTTCTTTTTACTAAATTTATAAATTGATTTTTATAAAATCCAGGATTTGATAGATATTCGTTGGTCTCTCCTTGCATTATTAAACTTGAACTCTGTTGTTTAAATATTATATCTGTGTTTGGTAAATTTAATAAATAAAGTAATTTGTGAGCAAGGTCTTTTGTAACATACAACTCGAATCCTTCTTTCAAATTTAGTTTTACATTTTTATAATCCATGTCTAAAACAAATTCTGCTGAGTTAGATTTTGATAATGAAACTATATTCTTGTTTATCCAGTCGACAAAAGTCTCTCCTTCATTTTCATCACCTGTAGTTAATGAAATCATATATGTTTCATCGCTTATTTTTTCTCTTCTAATATTATGCTTAGTAATAGTATAATCATTGTTATGATTAGATATGTTAAACCAATTTCTAGGAATAATAACTTCGCTCAGACCAACTACCCATTTTCTACCCAAATCAATAGGTGGATTTATTTTCACAATGAAATGAGACTGCTTATTTTCAGGAAATAAATCCATGCTGGCATTGCTTATCAGAGTTACAAAAAAGTGTGACTGCATCATTCTGTTACCTTCTGTAATTCTTGTGTATAAAATCTTCCTTCCAAAATTTCGTTATTTAAATCTTTCAATATGTATGTGGGAGGATGAGATAAAAAACAATCGTGAATAATAAATATTCCTTTTGTTTAACCTCGTAGATATCCTCGACTAAACGTTTTACATATTTTCGAAATTCGAACGAAATCACCAATATTAAATTTAAATTTATTTTTTTTTTTATACCATAGAGCTTTTCAAAAATCGCACTGTGATGCAAAGGTGTAACTTCCGACGGAGACATACCGATACTTTATGAAAACTATTATTGTAGCTTTTTACAATATCAGATAATTTATCGATATATTTATAAGAATTACGATAAGTAAATAATCTATATATTTTATTCCGCAGAGTTTTATTTAGTCTTTCGACAACAGCTGCTTTTGTATCAGAATGGGTTGAATAATGATTAATTTTAAATTTTTTAAAAAGATTTTTTACCAATCTATTATAAAACTCTTTTCCATTATCAGTTTGTAAATTTTTTGGAATATTTTTTTTAAAAATGATTTCAAAAGCTTTAAAAATTGACTGAGGTTTTTTATCTTTTATTGGTTCCACATAGCAATACTTAGTAAATACATCGATTACTGTTAGTAAGTATTTTACTCCATTATTAAATCTAGAAAATTGTTTTAATACAATTAAATCGGCTTGCCATAAGTCATTAGGATAAAAACTTTTAGTTTTTCTTCGCGAATATTTAACTCTTACAGGTTTATGAAGAGTATAATCATTTGAGAAAATAGCCATTTTTTAACAACAGATCGCAATAAATTAGATTCTTTTACTAATTTACTTACACCACCAAAAGATGCTGAAGAATTAGTATTATAGTATATCGATTTCAAAAGCTTTTCCATTCGGAATTTTTTTTTCTCTTTCTCTTAGATTTTTTCCACTGGTGAAATAGTCTCGGAAAAAAAATTTCTTCGGGAGTCTCGACCGATGCTGGTTGATACTGTGTCTTTTCAGGTAATGTTGCCAAACTTTTGTTTCCAATTTACTCTTTAGGAATGTTTATTTTCTTTAATCCGTTCAAAAATTCGTTAAAACCAACAGGAACTAATGCGGTTTTTCTATTTCTCATTACATGCGAAATTATGTCTACTATATAACTTCCAAAAATAGGTTTCCCATCGACTGTTAATTCACCTTTAGAATTTCATCCGTAATGACTTTAATTCAACTTTTTAATTAAATGTGGTATATATTTTTGATATAATTGTGGTACGGATAAAATTATTTGTTTAATAAATGCATCATCAACAACATTTTATTCAGTTTGAGATTCTGTTTCTTCGATTTTGTCATAAACAACAGATACTCTAACAGGTTCTTTTGGTGCATGAACTGTTCTCTGATATCTTGAAATCAATTGACTTAATAATTTGACTTTACTGTCATCAGACAAATCACCAGTCTCAAGTAATTCTTCAATATTATTACCAATTCTTATTTCAGGTTTTTGATATGCTGACAACAATTCAGGAAAGACATGAGCCATTTGCTTCGCCATTAGATTCTTTTTCCTATTGCCTTTCCAATTAGTCCACCTGCCATAGACAATAACGGAGCCAGTAGAAGAGGAAGAATTTTCCCAATTCATTAACTAAATTTTTTTCTTAGTATTTAAAGGAACATTTTTTTCACTTAATTTCCTGATAATTTTTCTATATTTTTGTAATTTACGAACATCAGCAGGTATATTTCCTCTCCGCAAATTATCACATATTTCACACAAAACTTTAATTTGATCGGGAGTAGCTTCTTTNAATTTTATGGAAGAAAACCTTTCAAACAGCCGTAGTCTGTAAACTTCACACGTGTCGGGCTGTGATTGGCTCATGTATTTAAGGATTCCTACAACGTAAAATTCTTTATAACGTGGAACGTATCTGCGCGTTATAGTGGAGTCTACTGTATTTCACTGTATTTTATAGTTTCTTAATCAAATATAACAAAACAAAATTATATTTATGTAATTATTGTTACAATAAAACAATAATTACATATATATAAAAATAGACTTAAACAATGCCGTGTAGCAGAGCCGTAAGTAGCTATTCCTGTTTCCTGTGCAAGAATTTGCATTTAGGCCCGTTAATTTATTTGGTTTTTGGAAAATAATAAAACAAATACATTACAATAGATTTTCAATAATATTTATTTTAATTGAATTTTTTTGGCTTTCATTTCGGCAAATTTATTAATTACACCTTCATAATATTTTTAACGATATTGTATTTTATCGAAATAATAGAAATATTGGATAATCGTTCTTGTCCGATAGTCGATCTTAAATAATTTTTTATTAAGTTTAACTCGCTAAAACTTCTCTCGCCCGAAGCACTTGAAAGGGGAAGAGTTGGAAATATTTGAAGAGCGTCATCGATATTTGGATAAGACTCAATTAAACCAAAATCATGAAGAGCCTGTAGAATATTAAGCGGAGATGCAGTTTCTATATTTTGTATAAGGTCGTTACTTCAAAATTAAAACTTTCAATTTCACTCGCGAATTCGTACTTTTTTAAATCTTTGCTATATTTAATAGCGAGATCTGCAACCGAATTTTTTAAATCAGCAAACTCATGCATTGTAAAGACGAACCACAGAGAAAGCAAAAATCGTCACAGATAGTCTTCATTTTTTCATAACGCCAATCTATTTGACACAATAGAGTGTCAAGAACACTGTAAATTTGTATTTTAAATAATTTTTCGGGTGTCAAGTTACTTTCTTCATCT